GAAAGTTGTAGAACAAAGTAAAAAAAAAGAAAAGAAAAGTGTGTTCCTCTTGTCGGAAGTGATTTTCCTGAAGAATAGTTCAGCGTCTTTAAAAAAAAGGAAGAAAATTTTTAACTTGTAACTTTAATGAGGAAAATTACCTTTTTTTCTTGTCTCGAAGATGCGTTAAAGGACAGTATGTATTTTTAACTTTAAAGTGGTTTATTCTATTTACTGGGAGATCCAGAGAGCTGCTGTGTTCAAACTGATATGTAAAGCACAAATGATTAATCAATGGATCAATCAATTTGACAATTGAATGAAAAATCTATTATGAAAATCAACAGAAACCTGCCTCCAGCTTCAGGAATTGCTGCTGTTTTATATAATTTTATACTAAATTAAGATCAGATAGACTTCATTGATCCCACACTGGGTAAGTTCACTTGTTACATCAGCTCCAGATACAACACAACAAATAATAAAAAATAAAAAGAATAAGAGTTGTATGTACACTATATACAACTTTTATACAGTCTCATAGCAGGAAATATACAGGTGAAAGACATTTTATTAACAATGTCTCAGTTCCATATAGATTCCCAGTAAGCCATGATAGGAGCTTGGAAGGAGATCAACTAAATGGAGCACATTGGTTTTTAATGTGATCATTTACACCTGTACCTTTAGGTCTGTTGCTCAGGGTTCCTGTGAGGGTTGTAGGACCTAGGGGGATAACATGAAGCTCAGTTCAGTGTTGTGAGGTGAAAATAATCACCTGGTGACTGTATAACTGAGAGAACACTTGTTTTACATCATTCCTATTACCTAAATTAAATTAATTGTCTAATCTTCCAGGTTTGGTGTGAATTTAATCAGCTGTTTTGTTTTTGGCTCAAGCCCAATGCTATCTTCTCCCCTCCAAAAATTAAAATCTGTCGTTAGGTTTCTGAAATACATCGTTAATAGGAAGGCAGATTAAACTAATTACCAAGGGCGAAAACAAAAAACCTTCATGGCAGAGGTAATAAGCATCACTAGGACAGATAATTACTGATAATTATACCAATCTGACTCAAAGGGGGTTATGTGTGTAGCTTTAGAGAGAAGAAATACACTGCTGAAAAGACTGAAGGTGGCGAAATGCATCAGTGATGTGTAAAAGGGAAAATTCAGGAAGAGATAAACATTCAACTTGCAATTTAACAGCCCTGAAACCCAATTATAAAGTGGAAAACACGTCATTTTAAGAGCACGTTAACATCTGGTGTTGAAAAGATGAAATCTAAATGCATTTACACTGGGTGTTGATTATGTTTTCTTCTTTCCTGCAATTTGTGATCAGTAATTTAATTCAGTACATGAAGAGGATCCATAAATCACTGCAGAAATCTCCAATGAGTGCATTTATCTCTTACTGACTCCTTAAAATATAACTAAAATATGCCAGTATGGTCATATTAGTCTCCTTGTAATCAATACAGATCATAACCACAAACTTTTCTGTATATGTCTGTCAGTACAACAGGGCAGAATAAAGGAGCAGTATGAAAAAGTTTGCTGCAAGAGGCTTTACAATCTGCAATTCACGATATGATTTACTCACATTTTGTTTGAACAAAATGAAACAAATTAAGACTAAATCTACTATATATATTATCTTTTCTTTATCAATTTAATCTCATCATCATATCATTCATACATTTCCTGTTAATTAAACATCTTGACACAATTTCTGACCTTATTACTTTTTGTTATTTATTTCTACCCTTTTTCCTTTACTTTTAATAATGTGTATGTTTATACATGTGGTACATGGATGTATAGATGTGTTTGTATACGCAAATAAGTATATACAACATGATCAGTAACATCTATACTGCTACTGCAAGCCATATTGTTTATATACAAGATTTTAAGGACTTAATAAGTACACAGTTAACAACCTGACTTGTTAAGATGGAGACTGCAGTTGTTATTTTCTTGTGTTTTCGTGAATGTGAACCACACTTAACATCTGGCTGACACAATCTGTGTACTTTTACTTAGATTTTTCCTTATCCATATAAAAAAAATAAAAAAGTAAAGTCGTGAATGTGGTCTTACAATTGACATTTTACAAGTTGCTTTTGTATGTTTTATATTACCATTATGTGTTACACACTGCGCAGTTAGCACACAAACAAAAACAATGATTCACATGGAGGTCTATTATTCACTCAAGGCTGAATATGCTGTGTTTATGATGCCTGCCTATACAAAACAAAGATAAAAAAGACACAAGGTGCTTGTGCACTGTTGAAGACATCAGTCTACACAAATATAAAGCTAAAGTTACAAACAGCGTCCTTCCTTTTCATACATGGAGAGAGCTATTCTTAATGCACTCTGTTGTAAATACAAACGTTTATTATTTTATACAATAAAACAATACCTTCATTCTCTGATACTACCATTTAAACTCTACTAACTGAGGCCTTGCACACAGTTTGCCCAGATTACATTCTGCTGCAAACACCTCCATTCACAAGAACCCCACACTAAATGAGTAAAATTAGAATATTTCCCTTCTTGTTTCCCTTGTTTTGAAGAATTTTGTAAAGATTTGTGTGTTTTTAAAAAAGGCAAGAAACATAAGTGCACTAGAAGTACATGGCACGATTCTAAACTGTGTTTGAAATACATTGATTTGTGGTGGAAACTGGTGCAATATGTACTCAATCATAGGCTGAAGGGTTTGATAAAACAGAGGTTTACCTTGAACTGCGACTGCTGAACATGAGGCATCGTGTCAATGTTTTACTGACATCTCGTTGCAGAAGCTGGAAGTTGTTGGCAGAAGAACAGTTATCGCTGCCATTACGTCTGCGTTCACACTGCAGCTACAAAGAGGCCTCAATCTGATTGTTTTTGCTTATATGTGACTCAGATCTAATTTCTTCATGACAGTGTGAACGGCACAAATCATATGCAGTCTGATCTCCCAATTCTGATTTGGACAACTTTCATATATTCAGACACTTTTATGTCACTCTAGATCGACTGTCACTTCAGACCTGTGACCTGTTCACACTGTAATCTGATATGAGCCACATTTAACAACTAATATGAACCACAAAACAGGAAGAAAATCAGATCTGAGCCATAAATCAAAATTGAGCGCTAAGGCTTGCAGTGTGAACGTAGCCTTAGAGTCTGTATTGTCACTACTGTATAAAGTTAATGTGGGTTTTGATGAGTAAAAACAGATTATCACTGCCTGTATGTTACAGTTAATTCTGACTTACTTGTTGATGAGCAATTGTATTGTGTATTAAGATGCACTGTGATGTAGATTTTGCATCTGTTCACGCAGCTGTGATTAAGATAATGATGATGTTAATTATGCCACTTGTCTTAATATGGTTTTATTTGACTGACTGAAATCTCTGAATGCTTAAAGACAGTTAGAGATTGCACTGTTATTTCTGTCTGCTCTCTTATGTTGAAGGGTAACTAGTGTATTTTTAAACCCAGACCCGGAGATGTTTTTGTGTCTAAGTGACTAATGGGGAAAACAATTTTTCCACTGAGTACTGGCTGCAGTGTAATCCTTATGGGCAACTGTGCACAGACAAAGTACATCCAGTAAGAGTGCTTGCTTTTGTTATATTATTACAGAGATAGAGCTTTTCTGTGAAAGAGTAAGAGCCTTTTTTATTTCACCAGAAACAACAGTTGCTGTGTTCAAAGACACCAGACTCCATTGACAAAAACAGTAATTTTACCTCGTAACACTCAACAGAAACAGGATGAATCAGAGAGGCTGCTGGGATAAACAGTGCGTAGGACCAGATATGTTCACATCCAACTCATCTAACATCTCACTAATCAGGGTTGTGAGATAATTAATGGTAAAGGAAAGAAAAAAACAAAGTTCTCCCACAGTTTTCTCTATGTATTTGTGAAACACTGGAATAATTACACCTCTGTCTACCTTTAACAGTTATTCAAATTAAACTATCTTAACGTTTAGAGGGGAAATCTCTCTTTGCTGCTAACAACTCGACATGGGGCTCCGACTAGACACTGGTTTCATTTGGGGCCCCGAGCCTTGTCTTCAGATTTAAAGAAATAAACTGAAAAGTAACATGTAACTATATCTGGTATATAAATGTAGTGGAGTAAAAAGGGACCCCCACTAGGGGTCGCCAAAGATCCACGGAGGGGTCGCAAAGCCTTCTTGATTTTAAGGGATGTGAAGATAAATAAATAAAGTTGTTATTTTTTAAAGATAATTATTTAAGATCTAAACTTTGAAGACTTGAACACAAGCTTTATTCATATACAACAGCCTTGACTCGGCTTTAGAAAAGTACGCAGTTAAAACAACCAAAGATCTAACGGAACAATGGCCAATTGTCAGGGAGAAGAAAACACTCAATCTGTCAAAAGATAAGCCTATTAAGTCTGTATGATTGTTTAAAATGTAAAGAATAAATAATGCAAACAGAATCGTATAGAAAGTTCCTAAAAATATCTGAAAAACTCATCTGTGATCAGTATTGACAGGAATTAATCTGCTTAAAATTCATCTAAATCGCTTATTTAAACGTTATTTTAAAGTTATATTGTGTATAATATATAAACATCCATAAAATATGTCAGATAACTCAATAATAGAAAATAAAAAAACGTTGGAATTAAAAAGTATAAAGTAGATGAATAATCCCACCATTAATTATTTGTTTGTTTATTAAATAAATGTTAAAAATATATATATATATGCAAAACAAATCACCAAAACAACTTCCTACTTTATATTTATAAACCCCGACACAAACACACATGCTTCCGGTCATATTTGTGCTTTTTGTGTCAAATTAAAAGCAAAATAAAGCAGGAGAGATACAAGAAAAGGGAGAAATCATTAGAGGAGGAATCCCAGGCATATGGCTGGCTTTTGTCGGCTCCCCTCCCCCCTGCCTCCCTCCCTGCCTCCCTCCCTCCCTCCTGCCGTCCGCTCCGCAGCAGCAGGACAGAGGTAGTTCAGTTTTTGAAGCCGTGGCATGAATGATCTCATCTGAACCTGATCTCCGCTTTCCCTGCCTGTCGATCCTATGACCGAGACGGGAATAAAATAACACAAACACGAGGTGAGTACGGGCTCAACCCCGAAACCACCCGGCGATAGTCGTTGTTAAAAAAAAAAGCAGCTACCCGGGCGACCGTTTGTTGTTTTTATTATCGGAGGAGGGGGAACTTAAACAGCCCCGAGCCGCGGAGAAAAACTCTTGTTTCTGGGTCTAAAAAGGAGGAAGGACCGCGGAGGATGTGTGGGTGGGCGCTAATTAGCTCTACGATAGGTAGCGTTCATTTAATGGGGAAAAAAAAAACATTTTTATTTGTGAATAAAAGGGAATTACCGTAAAAGGCTAAAAAAAAAACCTGAATGCCAAAGCTTTTTGTGCCGTTTTTTTTTTTTTCAAATTCCCGTTTTCACTCAACGTCTTAGCTTAGCTAGTTAGCTCGCCCGCTAGCCGCTCATAAGCGTAGAGTGGGAACCTTCAGCCGATAGCTAGCCGGTTAGCTCGCAGCTACTAGCGCAAAATGGCCTCATTGTCGCTCCGTAGCTCCGATGCTGAAAAAGACAAAAGCATGCGGCAGCTCCGAGCGGCGCTCTGCAACGGCTGTAACGGCTCCAAACCGGCGGGGACATGGCGGTTAAGTTCGGTTTTTTAACGGGGGGTAACGTGGGGACGTGAACGCCGCCGTGTTTGTGCGGTTTTGCGTTTATTTGTTGGTTTTAAACACGACGCGCTGTGTGAAAGTGTGCAGTGGGGGATGGGTCCGTGCTGCGAGCCGTTGACGTAAAGCGAAGCTCCTAGCATAATACACCAGATCCGCTTCTAGTGCTCATGTTTGTGTCCTACTCCGAGTGAGCATTGCTTGTTTTAATGTTAATAACTGTGTGATATTAGTGTCTGACTCCGGGAGTATTCGCGTAATTACAATTACAATTACAGTATTTTTTTTTTTTTTTTTTTTTTTTGCAATTGATTACTCATTTCCTGATATCTGCTCATGTTTTTGAACATCAATGTGTGTCAGCATTTTCTTGTTAAATCTTGTTATAGTGTGACTACAATTTGTTGCAAAAGCACCTTTAAATAAGAGCAGGATCACTGTAGGTTTACATGGAAAACAGGGTTTTTTTTTTTACTCTTAATGATCTGTAGTTTACATGTCAATCAATGCAGTTTAAAGCACCTATAGCAGACAAAATATGTCTTTAAATCAGTATGTATATTAATGGTAAGTTCTGCACCATAGCGCAGTAACCGTGCACGCTTAGGTTTATAATGAAAATAAAAATTAAAAACATTTTAGAGGTTTTTTTTGTTCACTTTCTGGCTGTAGTTTTTTTTTTGGTGTAAATGTCATTATGAGGTGTTTTTTTTTGTATTTTGTGTTAATGTAATTGTGTCCGTCCAGTTTTGGGAACTTGACTGCGATTTATTGAGCAAATATAATCGACTTATTATCTGAGATTGTGGTAGTTAATATCACAATCAATACACAGTCGTACGATGTATGTTTGTCTGCTACAGGCGCGAGAGTCCAGTCTGATCTGGGTCTTTTTATTACCTTATTATCTTTAATACATTGACTATTACTCTTGCGGTATATATTAAATTAAGTTCCAAGTAGAAACTCTGAGATTTAACCCCAAAATGCTAAACTATAGGGTGTTCAAAAACCACACATTTCTTTCCAATATACATGTAAATAGATAATCTGTCATGTCCCAAACTGTTTTTTAATTCTCTGTGCAGTGTGCTTTCTCTCAGGTTGTTGGTCTTTCCTGGTTGTATTTTCATTCTCTATTTGAATTTTTACACATTGTTGTTGTTATTGTTGTTGTTGTTTTTCCTTCAGGGAGATAGTGCTCTCTAGTGTCTCTTGTTTAACAGGGCCCAGCACAAACGCACTACACAAGAAGACAGCACATGTCCATAATTGTTTTCTCACCCCTTTTTGTATTTTAGATCTCCGGGTACCTTCATAAATGACTTTTCTCCTTATTCTGTCCACTGTCAGGAAATGTTATTCTGTATGCAAGCGAGGACTCAAAGACCTCCAGGTTCCCCAAAGCCATTCGGCGAACATTAGCTCCACTTCTTTTTCCTTTCTTTTTGTGGTATGGGTTAAAAATAAAACCGCTCCTCTGATCAATCAGGTGAAAACAGTAGCTGCAATTTAATCTTTCTCTCTCATTTTATGTCAGGTGTTGATGTGTGTAAAGGAGCTCAGTACCTCCCTCTATCGAAGTAGAGCTTACAGTCAGTTCCTAACTAGAAATCACTACATTTTTGATCACATGTGTTGATTATGTGTTGATTAAATGTAAAGTGTTCAATCTATGTGGTGTTTTTCTTTCATCCCCGTTCTTGGCTGTGAAATCTTGAGTGCTACAGTGTGTTAATTGTAAGATGGCATGTATCTCCCACACATTATGGGGGCGTTAGTCTTGCCTGGCCCCCTAGGATGAAACTCTAAAGAAACACTAATCTTTGTTGGTGCGGAGATGAATTGTGAGAATAACAGCAGAAAAGTTGGTAGTTTTTTGTTTTTTTTTGTGAAATTGCTAACAACTCTTTGTTGTTTCTGTTCTGTGAACCCTAATGCTATGCTTTTACAGCCCCAACAATACTATTTTTCTCTTTGTATCCCTGGTTTGTTACTTTTTGTGATTATTTTTGTAAAAAAATGTATCACAAATAGACATTTTGAAGCAAGTGGAATCATTCACCCAAATGCCCTGCCCACAGGTTTTAACACAGAGGAGACACAGCCGGACACTGAACACTATTTTTTCTGTCCGATGGAAAATTAAAATGCCACAGGCTGCTCTCCAGAGCTCAGTCTCCTATTTACTTGCATCCCGTTTATTCTGGGGGGAGTCAGAGAGCCTTTAATGTTGGCAGGAGTGTTGTTTTGTTCCTGTAAGACATGTGTGTGTTCCCAAACGGTGTGTTCATAAGGAAGTTGACTCTACTTTTCTCCCCCCCCCCCCCCCCTCAGTGAAGAGAAAGTGAAAATCTTGTTCTACTAGTTTTTGAAGCGTGTCGTGTGTAGACCTGGAAACCTGATATCCCTTGTAAATATTAGTGGGTCATGGTGGTACATTTGTATTTGTGAATATTGTAAATGCTGTTATTTTCCATATTCTTCTCACTTTTACCCCTTAAAAGCACCTTATTGATTAGGATATTTTCTTGATCACAGGTGGCAGTGGGAAAGAATAAAAGTGCACTGATCATGTAATTTGAGTGCTGTTTTTGTTTTCTGACAAAGGTCTCTCTAGTCTGTGCTTACTTTGATGCAGCGTCGGCATTTAGTTGGTAACCATGCTATTTTCGGTGGCTCAGTGGTCTGTTAAAAGTGTGGTTGTTCCGCCCAGCAGGAGTCTTGCCTCAGACTGGCCTAAAATGGGCAGAAATGGTGCTGAACAAAAGCTGCTTGTCGCTCGTACAAAAGTACTTGAAGCGTTGCAGCCGGGACCAAGCTGCATTGCTATTGCCTGTGCCTCTCAACAGGAAAGGTATAGCAAACTTTAAGAAAAAAACTACAACAAACAATTTACTGTTTACTGTAGTTCATGAAGAGTTTTTTTTAAATCTGTAGAGTTTATTGATAAAGTCACAGCTGCTGTTGAGCAGATTGTAGCTCCCTCATGTCCATACACAAATACTACACCACATAGCCTCATTACATCACACATTCACATAGTTAATTACATGGCACTTATTCTTTTCACTATGATCTTAGCTAGTGAATTCAGAACAGTAGGCATTTTGTGTGTTTGTCAGAGTGATAAATTAGTTGATGCTGAGATGAGTGTTGCCGTTTGATGTCTGACTGTGTTTCTGTCTCCTCGCCATCACCACAGAGAGACAACATGTTCCCGAAGGGCACCAAGCGCAAGTTCTCAGACTCCGGGGAGGAGCCTGTCTCCAGCGGTGACCAGAGCCCGCCGGCAGCTTCGTCTGCGGTGGCTCGGACGCTGTCGTCGTCCTACAGCCTCCAGCGGCAGTCGCTGCTCGACATGTCGCTGATCAAGCTGCAGCTCTGCCACATGCTCGTGGAGCCGAACCTGTGCCGCTCGGTGCTCATCGCCAACACAGTGCGGCAGATCCAAGAGGAGATGACCCAGGACGGCACCTGGCAGATAATGACCCAGGCCCTGGCCGCCGCGCAGTGTCCCGCCGACCGCCTGGTGGCCACCGAGGTGTTGTGCCGGCAGACGGACGCAGCGGCTCAGGCCGGGCAGAGCCCGAAGCCCTTCTCGGTGGTCGGTCTGGAGGAAGGCTACCACTCCGAGGAGGTGGTGATGGACGGAGACGTGGAGACCGAGGTCACCATGTCCACTCTATCGCCCGTCTCCCCCCAGCTGTCCTCTGCTTCGTACCTGGCGGGTCCCTTTGGCATGGGGCCCTGCTGGGAGGAGGAGGAGGAAGACGGTGAGTGCGAGGAGGATGAAGAGGAGGACAGCGAGGAGTGTGTGTCGGAGGGAGAGGAGGGAGACCGGGACCACCTGAGCGAAGACTCCAGGACAGGGGAGCAGGTTTTTGGGACTTTTGAGATCAAGCACCCGGCGCCGCCCCCTGACCCTGCGCTCGAGGAACTGTTTTCAGACGTGGACCCATCCTACTATGACCTCGATACGGTGCTCACAGGCATGCAGGCCGCCCCGAAGATGGGGCCTTACGATCTGCTGGAGAGCCTTTCCTCTCACGGGCCCACGACCCTGAGCTCCAGCTCGAGCTGCAGGTCAGACCTGAACGAACTGGACCACATCATGGAGATCATAGTGGGATCCTGAAACTCAGAACATTCCTTTGGCCTGTACTGAACCCTCAGACTCTTTCCAGACTATGCACAGTACACGTGCATGTTCTGTATGTGGTATTGTTACACATGGAGATTGTTGGAGGTTTTGGGGACAAGGTGGGAAATTAACAGCAAGCCAAGTAGATTTTGGGATCGGCTGTTAGAGGTTTAGTTAGTCCGCTCTAACGGCCACTTAGGCAAGTCGGCAGCTGCTGTTGGGACCTTCGTCTTTTATTAAAACAAATTTAATTGGCAAGTGAATGAATTTTTGGGGATTCACACGCCATCCTGGCCTGTGGGCGAGAGCAGTTAGTTTCCTACTTTGTCGATGAAATCCAAAACTGGACAACATCTGTGAGAGGGCAAAGATAATTACCTATACCATGATGCATTCTTATTTACGTACTTTCCATGTTTACGTCTGTCATACATTCTGTCATACTAGCTCCTTCTGGTCGTACTCTCTGCCATTTTGTCCATTTCTATTTATTGTTACATGGACTGAGGAACAATTCATCACACTACATGCATCAGAAACCAGAACAAATTGTAAATCCAAATCTATGAATCAATGCGTATTTTCCTAAAGATTTGAGCAATTATGAATGGAATATATGTATATGTACGTATGTGTATATAGAAATATATTTTTTGCATTATACAGCTGGGGGATTTTGCAAGTATCATTTGATATTATTATTATTTTTCCCTCCCAAGCGGTTTTTAAGATTTTAAATGTAGCCAGACTCGAGACAGTGTCTTCCCATGGTTTGGTATAACAAGTAGACTGTAACAGGTGTCAGGGCTGGCATTGTCACACTTTATAGGCGCTGTTCTTTCATTTTCTCAAAGCTTTATGCAGGGCAGGGAAATTACTTCCAGCCACCAACCACACACTGGTTAAGATTTGACTGTTTCTGGTAGGTTTACAGTATCCAGCGGTCGAATCGAGGTAAGTTCCCCGCCCTGCTTTACACACAGATCTAATAACAATAACTGCTTTTCCGGAAGCATTTGGAGAAACCACGGGGTGATAACTGCATCAAGAAGCCATATTTCTTTCTCTCATTTGTTCGTACTACAAATGAAGAATTCTGTGTGTTAACCCAACCTAATTTATTGTTGTTTTATTTATTGTATTTATTATATCTAGGTACAGACATGCCACATTGACTTCAAAATCAACCATGAGGCCTGATGAAATTATATTTATCCAAATTTCGCCCTCCGTTTTGAATGCAGTACCTATTTATTCCTCACATTTTTTTATTATTATTAGTAATAATAATAACCGGGTTACTATTCAAATCACTATGCAGCTCTGTCATACGTGTTTCAAAATGATTGTATACGACTCAAATGTCCTTTAATTCCTTTATGCAAACAGTTGCCTTTCTCCTAAAGATGTGGAAAATCAAATGCATTTTTCAAAATTGTTCCTTATCATCGTGATGAAGAGATTAACTCAGGCAAACAAAATGTATTGACAAAAATACAGTATTACGACACGCTTAATACCTTACCACAACACTCCTGAAGGATGTCACTCTGGTCTGAATGGGAGCTAGAACTTCAAAGACTAATTACCGTTGTAAAATGTATGCATTTTTTTATATTAAGGAAAAAACATTGTAGCATCTTTGTAAATATTTTTTATAATAAAAGGTGCAACTATTGATTGTGTGGTGTGGGTTGGATCACTTATTTTAGATGGTTTCCGCTTTTCTTTTCACAGAACTGATCAAACCTGACCTTTGAATGTGGTTGAACCTAAAGCTGCTAATATACGTTACAATACTCACGATAAAGACCGAAACCAACAATTTTCTCTATCCTGTCTGTGCCACTCAGCCTACTCATTTCTACTGAAAACACGTCACAAATCTATACCGAGTCTTCTTTATAGGTTTACTTCCTGTAGCAGCTGGGCACTATAGTTTTTAGCAAATGTTACTTAAACAGGAGTGAATAGTGGATTTGTTGAGGACTAT